TCCGGCCTTGACTGGACTGGCCCCTTGCTGGGACTATAGGGGAGCAACAAGGATGGACCTCCTGCTGGTCCCAGAGTCAGGACTAAACATGGGGTGGCAGCCTTTCAGATTTAAGCAGCTAAAATCTGGAAACGTATTCCTGAAAATGTGAGGACAGTATTCTTCTCTGTCAATGCTCCAATCCAGGTTAAAACAGTTCTGTTTTGCTGCTGCAATCGGAAGGATTTATCTTTACTCTTTGTAATGTACTGTGATTATTTTATGATTGTTCATGCCTTGTTTGACTGTATATATATATTTTTGCCGTGTGTTTGAACTGCGCTAAACAAATAAACTTGCCTTGTCGAGAAACCTTGAAAAGCATAAAACCAACGATTATTTTATGTCCAAATGGTGAGTGTGCTTCAAACTTTATGAGCCAGATATATGTGAAATCAAAAGGCGCCAGAGCGAGTTGGAGCAAAAACTTCATCCACGAGCACTTCCATATGCAGCTAGCGTGTTAGCATGGTCCATATGGATACAGTCGATGCTGGACCTGGAGATGGTCAGGCCCAGGTTTACGCAGTGACTTATGCTCTCCCAAGAACCCAATCAGACGCTTCTTCCTTTTATTCCCTGCTTCAGTCGGCGGTTGAAGGAAGCCACGCTGTTCGCCGCTAACTGCAGATGAAACGCGCCAGTTAGCGTAGCGGTTTCGGGCGCTAACGACTGGCTGCCACGATGCCGACGTCGTAAACAGAAGTGGGACAGAGCGAGGGGAAGAATGTAGCGGATTTGTGAAGGGTGCAATCGGCGTGGCGAGACCCAGCGAGGACTCGGCGTCATCTGTCAGAGCGATTTGGGAGACGCAGAGCCAGAGAAAGTGCATTGTCTCTATTAATAAGTTAGATTATGTTTTTGCCGGATAATCACTAGAGTTTTGGAGTGGTCTATCTGGACCAATGGAGAAGAAATAAGTTGATAATTCATGCAGGTTAATTTTTCATACAGCTATAATTTTTCCGTTTTTTTAATCAATCATAAAACTATATTAGGTAATTAATATAGCCTCAGTCCTCTACAGCCTCAGTCCTGGGTCTACAGCCTCAGTCCTGGATCTACAGCCTCAGTCCTGGGTCTACAGCCTCAGTCCTGGGTCTACAGCCGCAGTCCTGGATCTACAGCCTCAGTCCTGGGTCTACAGCCTCAGCCGGGATCTACAGCCTCAGTCCGGGTCTCAGCCTCAGTCCTGGGTCTATCAGCCTCAAGGTCCAGGACTCCATCTGTCCTGGAACACCTGCCCTTTACCGTCGATAACCAGGACTGACAGCGAAGGACCAGCCCACACCTCAAACACACCAGCAACAGCAGAACCAGCGCAGCCCCAGCTGCCAGCGCTCCAAAACTCCTTGATAGTTTCAGTAACACCACAAATGATTATGTGGACATCGGACATCAGTCTCTCATAAATGGCAACATGTTGGTGGACAGCCGTGTGGTTTTCCCAGACCATGTCTGCAGCCTGTGAGAGTTTTAACAAACTCTCTCTCACTGTGGGCCTGCGATGCAAATGCATTATACGTTTTTAGCACTGTTGCACTCAGGTAGCTTCCCTTTTCAGCAGTAGAACTAACCTCTCGCTCCTTAGGCAAAACAGACGGCTGTTTCTTCTGGGCCATGGTTGTCTTCTGTCTTCTCAATTCTGTCCCCCCACTCAAAGTGCCGTATTTTTCGCCGAGTCCTTGTACTTTAAGATTGATATTATCCTTTCATGACACTCTGGTGGAGCCAGTTACAGACGCCAGTGCGACTCACTGCTGTGCGGCGTGCTGCGGCGTCGCCGGCGCGGATAAAACCATATAAATATAAAGATTATCATTGTCATTAAAATGTGCGGCGGGCAGAGTCAAATCTCTTGGTTCGGCCCGAGGCCGTATGAATGACACCCCAGAATCTACAGCCTCCAGTCCTGGTTTGACAGCCTCGTCCTGGGTTCTACAGCCTCAGTCCTGGGTCTACAGCCTCAGTCTGGTCTTCAGACCTCCAGTCCAGGGTATACCAGCCACAGCTCCTGGGTCCTACAGCTCAGTCCTGGGTCTACAGCCTCAGTCCTGGGTCTACAGCCTCAGTCATGGATTACAGCATTCAGTCTGGGTCGAAGCCTCGGTCCAGGAATCTTCCGCCTCAATCCTGGATCTTCAGCCTCTAGTCCTGGATCTCTCTGCCTCGGTCCTGGATTCGTCAGCCTCTAATCCTGGGTCTTCAGCCTCGTCCTGGATCTTCAGGCCTCGGTCTGGATCTTCAGCCTCAATCCTGATCTTCAGCCAGAGTAAACGTTCCAATTCCTTGAGGGAATTTAGGATGTGCAAGAGATATGGCTTGCAATATATATATATTAGTGGTGGGCCGTTTTTCAGCGTTAACGTGTACTGCGTTAACGCGAGATCTTGTCGGGGCGATAAAAAAAATTATCGGCATTAATCTATTTCTCAATTGTTGAGTTGGGAGTGGGATCTATTCGACGCATGCGATGATGACGTTAGCGCGGATGGAGACCTACCCGATTGCCAGGGTCGGGGTCGGCGATACGAAGCGTGCCGAACCTGTGTACAATTGCTATGCTTACTGGTGACATTACCTCAAAATACGTGAATCGGGCTATGCTCGGATACTGCTACGAAGGCCGCCACGGGTTGTGCTTCAGGGGCAAATTGTCTTTTTATAAGTAAGCGTTCCATATGGGTATCTACGACAAGATAAGGTTGTTTGCACCTTGTGCAATGGGGATTGTGTTTACGTAGGAGTTCTTCCAGTCTCAAGTACCACCTAAAAGCAAAGCTTCCCGTAGCTAGTGCGGAGGAGATGCCTGGCCAAGCACTGATGTAGCGCCGGGGAAGTGTCGTCGTCAAACTACTATGCTTGGTGCAACCGAGGCAAGCCCGTCAGCACAGCACTAGCAGCAAGCTAACTAATCTCCTCGCTCAGTGGATTGCCACCAGCTGCCGGCCCATCAGTGGTGTGAAGATGATGGGCTCGACTTGTTCTCCAGACGGCAACAGGTGACTCTTCTTACAAACTACCCGCGAGGCGAACTATCATGAGGAGAATACATGACCAGCACACCACAGAGAAAGCCGCAAAAGATAAATGATGTCAGAGGCGAGTTGTGGGCGCTGACTGGGGACCTCTGGACCTCTGTCAACAACGATAACTACCTCGGCGTTACTGTACACTTCATCGATGCCAGCTGGGAGCTTCACTCCTTCGCTTTTAAGGTATGCTACGTTATGTAAGGGATAATGTATAGCATACAGGTCATTATCGGAAAATAAGTACGACAGGGGAAATAAAAGCGGACCCCTTCCGCCTGCATTGGTACTTATTGTCCGATAATGACCTGGATGTGCTATACATGAGCCCTTACATAAACGGAGCCTACCTAAAGCGAAGGAGTGGAAGCTCCCAGCTGGCATCGATGGAAGTGTACAGTTAACGCCGAGGTAGTTGCGCGTGTTGACTGAGGTCCCAGTGGTCCCCAGTCAGCGCCACACAACGCGCCCTGACATCATCTTATCCGTTTGCGGCGTTCTCTGTGGTGTGCTGGTCATGTATTCGCCTCATGATAGTTCGCCCTCGCGGGTAGTTTGTTAAAGAAGAGTCACCTGTTGCCGTCTGGAGAGAACAAGCGCGTGCCAGCATCGTCATACCCTCACTGATGGGCCGGGCTGCTGGTGGCTATCCACCTGAGCGAGGAGATTAGTTAGCTTTGCTGATAGAGCTGTGCTGACGGGCTTGCTCGGTTGCACTCAAGCATAGTAGTTTGACGACGACACTTCCCCGGCGCTACATCAGTGCTTGGCCAGCATCTTCCTCCGCACTAGCTACGGGATGCTTTGCTTTTAGGTGGTACTTGAGACTGGAAGAACTCCTACAGTAACCAGCATTTCCCTTGTGCACAATGGTGGCAAACAACCATTAGTCACTTGTCGTAGTTTTCCATTGGGAAGCCTTCGTAAAAAATAAATTTTGTCCCTGAAGGGCAAAACCGCGGGGTGGCGGCTTCGTAGCTGTATCCAGCTAGCTACCGTCACGTTTTTTGGTGGTAATGTCACAGTAACATGGCATGTACACAGGTTCGAAGATTCAGTTCCGCGACCCCTACAATGCAATTCGGCTAGTATACATCCGCGCTAATAGTCATCATAGCTTGCGTAGTATAGAATCCCAACTCCCAACTCAACTTTGAGAATAGATTAATGCCGATATTTTTTTTATCGCCCGACAAGACTATCGCGTTAACGCAGCACGTTAACTGCGAGATAACGGCCCCCCACTACTATATTATATATATGGCTATTGCCATATTCTCTTGGCAAATCCTAAATTCTCTCAAAGGAAATTGGAAGTTTATCAGGGCTGAAGATCCAGGATTGAGGCCTGAAGATCCAGGAGCCTGAGGCTCCCTAGGATCCAGGACTGAGGCTAGACCCAGGACTGAGGCTGTAATAGATCCAGGATCTGAGGCTGAAGATCCAGGACTGAGGCTGTAAGATCCAGGACTGAGGTCTGTAGACCCAGGACCGAGGCTGTAGACCCAGGACTGAGGCTGTATAGATCCATGACTGAGGCTGTAAGACCCAGTACTGAGGCTGTAGACCCAGGACTAGACCCCAGACCAGGACTGAGGCTAGACCAGGATGAGGCTGTGACCCAGGACTGCGGCTGTAGAACCTGTGAGGCTGTAGAACCAGGACTGAGGCTGTAGACCCAGGATGAGGCCTGTAGACCAGGGACTGAGGCTGTAGATCCCACTCGGCGAAAAATTACGGACTTTGAGCTGTAGACAAACTTAGGCCCTGAAGAACCAGTCAGATCTGTTTGTGCCCAGAGCGAGAGGTTCGTTTCTGACTGCTGTAAAGGGAAGCGCACCTGAGTGCTCTATCAGTGCTTTAAAAACATAGCAATTTGCATCGTCAGCCGCACAGTGTGAAGTGAAGAGAGTTTGTTAAAAACTCTCACTGGCCTGGCAGGACATGGTCTGGGGTAAAACCACACGCTGTTCACCAACATGTGCCAATTTATGAGAGAACTGATGTTTACTGATGTCACATATTCATTTGTGGTGTTCCTGAAACTATCGAGAGGAGTTTTGAGCGCTGCTGCTGGTGTGCTGCTGACGGGTTCTTGCATGTTGCTGGTGTGTTTGAGGTGTGGGCTGGTCCTACGCTGTCAGTCTGGTATCGACGGTAAAGGCAGGTGTTCCAGGACTGAGGCTGTAGATCCAGGACTGAGGCTATAGACCCAGGACTGAGGCTGTAGATCCAGGACTGAGGCTGTAGATCCAGGACTGAGGCTGTAGACCCAGGACTGAGGCTGTAGATCCAGGACTGAGGCTGTAGATCCAGGACTGAGGCTGTAGACCCAGGACTGAGGCTGTAGATCCAGGACTGAGGCTGTAGATCCAGGACTGAGGCTGTAGAGGACTGAGGCTAAATAATTACCTAATATATTTTATGATTGATTAAAAAATCAGAAATTATAGCAGTAGAAAATTACCTGCATGGAATATCACTTATTTCTTCTCCATTTTTCCAGATAGACCACTCCAAAACTCTATGTTTATCCGGCAAAAACATAATCTAACTTATTAATGAGACAATGCACTTTCTCTGGCTCTGCTTCTCCCAAATCGCTCTGACAGATGAGCGCCGAGTCTCGCTGAGTCTCGCCACGCCGATGCACCCTTCACAAATCGCTACATCTCTTCCCCTCGCTCTGTCACTTTCTGTTTACGACGTCGGCATATGGCAGCCAGTCGTTAGCGCCCGAAACCGCTACGCTAACGGCGGCGTTTCATCTGCAGTTAGCGGCGAACAGCGTGCTTCCTTCACCTCCGACTGAAGCAGGGAATAAAAGAAGAAAGGTCTGATTGGGTTCTTGGAGATCCATAAGTCACTGCTGTAACCTGGGCCTGACCTCTCCAGTCCAAGCATAGACTGTATACAGATGGACAATGCTAACACGCTAGCTGCATATGGAAGTGCTCGTGGATGAAGTTGTGCTCCAACTCGCTCTGGCTCCTTTTGATTCACATATATCTGGCTCAGTAACAGTTTGAAGCACACTCACCATTTTGGACATAAAATAATCTGTGGTTTTATGCTTTCAATGTTTCTCGGCAAGGCAAGTTTATTTGTTTAGCGCAGTTCAAACACACGGCAATATATATATATACAGTCACACAAGGCATGAACATCATAAATAATCACAGTACATTAAAAAGAGTAAAGATAAAATCCTTCAGTTGCTGCAGCAAAACAGAACTGGTTTTAACCTGGATTGGAGCATTGACAGAGAAGAATCCTGTCTCACATTTTCAGGAAGACTTTTCCAGATTTTAGCTGCATAAATCTGAAAGGCTGCCTCCCCATGTTTAGTCCTGACTCTGGGACCAGCAGGAGGCCAGTCCTTGTGCTCCCATAGTCCCAGCAAGGGGCCAGTCCAGTCAAGGCCGGAAAGTCCCTCTGCTCCTCATAGTCCCAGCAGGAGGCCAGTCCCTGTGCTCCTCAGAGTCCCAGTAGGAGGCCAGTCCCTGTGCTCCTCAGAGTCCCAGCAGGAGGCCAGTCCCTGTGCTCCTCAGAGTCCCAGCAGGAGGCCAGTCCCTGTGCTCCTCATAGTCCCAGCAGGAGGCCAGTCCCTGTGCTCCTCAGAGTCCCAGCAGGAGGCCAGTCCCTGTGCTCCTCAGAGTCCCAACAGGAGGCCAGTCCCTGTGCTCCTCAGAGTCCCAGCAGGAGGCCAGTCCCTGTGCTCCTCAGAGTCCCAGCAGGAGGCCAGTCCCTGTGCTCCTCAGAGTCCCAGCAGGAGGCCAGTCCCTGTGCTCCTCAGAGTCCCAGTAGGAGACATTTACACTCATTCAGATGCGTTCATATATATTTCAATCTTTTCAATATTTTGATGTTGTAAATCCAGATATGAGCCGTACAATTCTCCCCCACGAATGCATCTGAATTGACCAATCAGATGCACTCGTGGGGGAGGTTCACGACTTATACAAACACAGCTAACATGCTAATGCTAATAGTGTCTGACCTTTACTTTTACCCTTTGCAACCTTGACATTAATTGGATTTTCATGAATGTTTTGAACAGACGCAGAGTGTGACCTCTTCATGATAACTTTCAGCATGATTGTTTTTCCTTTTCTAATGATTTCTCCACGTCTTAAACCAATCGCTGGCCCTTCCTCCGCTAACCTCCGCCTCTGCAGCTCGGCGATAGCGCTGCCACCACGCCTTGTTAGTTTCCATTATCGCACAAACATAGGTTATCTGCGGCGGGTTAAATACTGCGAATATTTAATTAAGTGTTGAGAAATGCGACGTGGCAGGCGCAACCGCGAGGGGAAGTGCGGAGAGGAGAGAGTCTACGGGGTCCGGAGACGTGGGAGGCAGATCCAGATTAGAACGGGGGATAAGCTTGTCAAAAAGGCTTTTATCTCGGACATTCCGCCCTCCGGTTACGAGCGGAGAATCCAGGCAGTGAAGACATCGTGCACATATGAGCTGACAGGACGAGGAACACGAGGGGGTTTAGGAACACAACAAGGGCACAGAGGCTGAAGACAGAGAGAGGCTTGGTAAAGACGGAGATAAGAGATAGATACTTTATCGATCCCCCAGGGGAGAAATGCAGGTGTCCAGCAGCAGAAACGCATAAAGAGCAGAGAGACACTAGAGAGAGACCAGAGAGAGACCAGAGAGAGACCAGAGAGAAACCAGGGAGAGGCCAGAGAGAGACCAGAGAGAAACCAGGGAGAGGCCAGAGAGAGACCAGAGAGAGACCAGGGAGAGGCCAGAGAGAGACCAGAGAGAAACCAGGGAGAGGCCAGAGAGAAACCAGGGAGAGGCCAGAGAGAAACCAGGGAGAGGCCAGAGAGAGACCAGAGAGAAACCAGGGAGAGACCAGAGAGAGGCCAGAGAGAGACCAGAGAGAGACCAGAGAGAGGCCAGAGAAAGACTAGACTGAGACAAAGGTGCACTTTATTGATCCCCGTAGGCCAATTCAATCCTCTGCATCTGACCCATCCTGATGCCACTAAGGTTTGCGTTAGGAGCAATGGTCGCCGTAGTAACAGCGCCGGGAACCCATCTCCAGATGTGAATGCTTGGCTTGGACTACCGGAGCTGGAGGTTTATCCTAGTGTGCATGTTTTTAGTGGTAGGGGAAACCGGAGTACCCGGAGGAAACCTACGCAAGCACGGGGAGAACACGGGAGAGCAAACTCCACTCAGAAAGACCCCGTTCAGACCGGGATTTGAACCCAGGACCTTCTTGCTATCCACTCAGCCGCCCAAGACAGATACCATAGAGCAGGGGTGCTCAATACGTCGATCGCGATCTACCGGTCGATCGCAAAGGTAGTATTGGTAGATCGCATTAAATAAATAAAAAATTACACATTCTAAACGAATAT